GATGGGACATGTGTAAGTTGTGGGAAATGGTCCTGGCCGCCTGTGTGCCCACCTGCCCTGTGTCCAGGTCAAGATGTGGTGACCAAAAGGACAAGGACTATATCCATGGCTTCTTCCAGAGCCCCGCAAGTCAGCAGGCATGGGAGGGTGTTAGAATCCTGTAGTGCGCCTGTGTGGGGGCCATGCTGCACCTAGGGAACCTGCAGGGCTTGGCTCAGGGAGCACATAGGGGCCCAGGCAAACGCAAGGTCGCAGGTTAGGGGAGGTGAAGCTGGCAGGGGAAGGGGGAGACCTGCTGGCCAGAGCTGGGTCGGGGGCCGGTGGGCAGTGGGCCTGGCTCGAGCAGGGGGCGAGGGATTGGAGAGAAAGGCAGTTCCTGATGGTCCCCTCCCCAGGGGCTGGCTTTCCTCTGGTCCTTCCCTCCCAATGACCGCGTCTTCGTCGAGGCCACAGCCCTGGGCTCTGCGCCCACACCTCCAGTGCCAGGCTGCCCAGAGATCCGTTGATGGCCTTCCTTGGACCATGAAGCCCTCCCTGCCACTGGTGCCTGGAGGGCTGATCTGCTGCCTCAGTACCCTGGCCAGCTAGGATTTTAGGGTCCTGCAGCTGAACTGGAGGTGCCTTTCTGTGTAGCCTGTGGGTATCAACGGCCAGAACTGCCCTCGTTCATGGCCTTGCCAGCAGCTTGGCGTGCAGCCCAGGGAAGGCTGAGGTCAGCTGAAGCTAAGACCAATGGCCTTCTCTAACACTCCAGAGGAGCATGTCCCTGATGAGCAGGCCTTGGGCCCCAGGCCAGTGGGATTTCAGTAGGGACCGGCTGGCAGGGCTTTAGTGACTGCAGCCAGGGGTTCTCATGTGCAGGAAAGACCAGCTCCTCCAGAGTGAGCAGACTTGTGTCTTCTGGCCACGTGGTGAGTGCTGGGCCTACCCCATCAGTGGCACCTAGCAAGTGGACACCTGGGAGCACTGCCAAAGCTCAGTATGCTCCCCAGCTTCCTGCACTGCATTCAGGATGGTTCTGCCTCATCAGCTGCACCTGATCTGCTCTTAAACCCCCAGCTGAGCTTTAATGTGCAGTCACTGAAGCTTTCATTTCTAAAAGAACTTCCTAAGAGTTCCTTTTGGCCGGGCGCGCTGGCTCATGCCTATAATCCCAGCACTCTTTGGGAGGCCGAGGCAGGCAGATCACCCGAGATCAAGAGTTCAAGATCAGCCTGAACAACATGGAGAAACCCTGTCTCTACTGAAAATACAAAATTGGCTGGGCACGGTGGCTCACGCCTGTAATCCCTGCACTTTGGGAGGCCAAGGCGGTCAGATCATGAGGTCAGGAGATGGAGACCATCCTGGCCAACATGGTGAAACCCTGTCTCTACTGAAAATACAAAAATTAGCTGGACGTGATGGTGCATGCCTGCAATCATAGCTGCTTGAGAGGCTGAGGCAGGAGAATTGCTTGAACCTGGGGGGCGGAGGTTGCAGTGAGCTGAGATTGCCACAGCACTGCAGCCTGGTGACAGAGTGTGACTTCATCTCAAAAAAAAAAGAAAAATCAGCTGTGCATGGTGGTGTATGCCTGTAATCCCAGTTACTGGGGAGGCTGAGGCAGGAAAATTGCCTGAACCTGGGGAGGCGGAGGTTGCGATGAGCCAAGATCACGCCATTGCACTCCAGCCTGGGCAACAGAACAAAACTTGGTCTCAAAAAAAAAAAAAAGAGTTCCTTTTCCTGCTTTGTAAACCCAGTTTGCTCTTATCACTTCCTTTCCCCTGCAGATGTTTCTGAGCTGTTTTCTTTCTGCCATCAGAGCATGGTCAGTTGGTGATGTATGTGTGGGTATCTTTCTGCTGGTTCTTGCTCATGGTGCTTCTTTCATTATATAGTTCTTTCTTTTTTAATTTTATTTATTTATTTATTTATTTATTTTTGAGACGGAGTTTCGCTCTTGTTACCCAGGCTGGAGTGCAATGGCGCGATCTCGGCTCACCGCAACCTCTGCCTCCTGGGTTCAGGCAATTCTCCTGCCTCAGCCTCCTGAGTAGCTGGGATTATAGGCACGCACCACCATGCCCAGCTAATTTTTTGTAGTTTTAGTAGAGACGGGGTTTCACCATGTTGACCAGGATGGTCTCGATCTCTTGACCTCGTGATCCACCTGCCTCGGCCTCCCAAAGTGCTGGGATTACAGGCTTGAGCCACCGCGCCCGGCTTTTTTTATTTTTTTAAAGATGGGATTTCACCATGATGGCCAGGCTGGTCTTGAACTCCTGACCTCAGGTGATCCACCCACCTCGGCCTCCCAAAGTGCTAGGATTACAGGCGTGAGCCACCACGCTTGGCCTTATTATGTGGTTCTTTCTGACTGTGGACTGCTTCTTGTCTTTCAAAAATGATTTTGAGACTTCTTTGGCCACAGGGGCACTACCAGTGCTGGAGCCCCTTAAACCTGTGCTTGGCTTGCAGGTCCTCGTACCCCCAGTGTGGACCTGGACAACTGGCCATGCCCCAGCTTCTCAGGACCTTCCCCTCACTTTTGTGCAATGTCTCCGTGATCCCTGGGGGTGGCTACTGCTGTAGGTCATCTCTCCCTGAGTGTTGCTCTTTGGAGTCCCAGCCTAACTTAGGGGAGAGTCTCCTGTTAGGTTCCCCATCTTGTGGGGATGGCTGGGACTTGTCTTCTGTCTCCCTCACCCCTGAGGCCACCAGAGCACGAGCCCCAGTGTGTCCAGGGGGCAAACAGTCTGAGGCAGGATTGGCCATTGTGTTCTTCTGCCTTCTGTGGGCCATGCTCTCTGAGGTGTTGGCCATATCCTACAGGAGCTCATCAGCTCCTGCAATTTTTAAGATGTCTTCATATATATGTATATATATATATTTTTTTAAGACGGAATTTCTCTCTTGTTGCCCGGGCTGGAGTGCAATGGCACAGTCTCGGCTCACTGCAACCTCCACCTCCTAGATTCAAGCCATCCTTCAGCCTTAGCCTCCCGAGTAGCTGTGATTACAGGTGCCCACCACCATGCCTGGATAATTTCTGTATTTTTTGTAGAGACAGGGTTTCACCATGTTGGTCGGGCTGTTCTCGAACTCCTGACCTCAGGTGATCTGCCCGCTTCAGCCTCCCAAAGTGCTGGGATTGCAGGTGTGAACTACCATGTCTGGCCAATGTCTTCATATTTTATTGAGCATCTTGGGTTGTTTTTACCAAGAGGATTGGCCCTAGTAGCCTGCCAACCCTTGGGTGATAGTCCCCTGTGGGCACTGCCAGGTCACCCAGGGAGGGGACCCAGCCCAATTCCGGCCCCCCAGTCCCCTTCCCACAGGGCGCCCCTGCACCAACACACCCTTTAGTTCCCCATCCTATGCAGAGCAGTGGCCAGCACACCGTCTCAAATGGCTGCACATCCCCCAACACCCAGTGCATCTGCAGGTGGCAACACCTCACCTGCACACCCACCAGCTCCTCACTGAAGCAGATGGTCCCCAGTGGCCATCCCTGATGCCCATGCCTGTGGAAGCATGTACACTGAGCCCTCTTCACCTCCCTTCCTACTCATTAGACTTTTCTTGGAGGAATCTTTTTGCCTCTCTTCAGTATTTGAACAGCTTCTTGGCTGTCCCATGTCCCAGCTATGGGCACTGGCTCTGCCCTGGAGCCATGTCACTAAATCACTGCACACATGTACATTTCAGGGAACTTGGGTGTCACCCTGGGTGGCCTCAGGATCTAATCTCAGTCCGCCACTCATTTGCATTTCGGAAAACTGGCTGCTGGGTCCCAGAGGTCCCTGGGTGGGGACGAGGTGTGTGCTAAGTGTGTAGTCACCCATCGTGTCCCTGCCACGTGTTCATGCCAACTGCTGTGGGTGCGTTGGGCCCTCGGGTCCTGTGGGATGGTGAGTGTGTGTGCTGAGCGGGGCCTGTAGGGCTGGCATCCCAGGTGAGTGAGCTGTGCTATCCTGCCTGGCAGGCTGCCGGTGGAGGAGGGCTGCCTTCATTGGTGGCATGTGGGGGCGGGGTCTGGAAGTAAAAACATACACAGTGGTCCATTTCCAAAACAAAATGTCTTAAATGGGCTTAGGTGAGCAAACTACAGAAGAAACAGGATCTACTAGGCCCCTGCTTGGATAGCCGATGCGTGCTTATCGGCCTTCCTCTTTCCCCCATTTCCCCCCATGTAGTTGCCTTCACCCAAACCAAAGAAGTTTAGTTTAAGATGAAAGTCTACTAGCCTGCAAAGTAGCTCGGTTTGTCTTTTTGTATCAGCCTACCCTGCTACTTAGGTGGTAAGTTAAATACTTAAAAAGCCCTTGAGCTAACTAGGATTGCAGTGCACTGTGGGCTGCAACAAAATACAGCAAAACAAACCTGAAAAAGAAACACCTGAAGCCCCTTACCAACAACCAATAGGTGACGTCCGGGAAGACTGTGACCCCGTAGTACTCAGCCTGTGAGGACCCAGGGAGGGACCTGCGCATTAGGGGATAAATTGCTTATTAAAACTGGGTGTGCCTGCCTGTCAGACACCTGATCTTGCAAGAATGTCATTAAAAGTCTCTCTCTTCTCTGAGCCTCTGAGTCCATTCTTTAGTCTTGGATGGGTAAGTTTGTTTTTCACAATGTGGCTCCTGCCTTCGCTGCTGCTGACCCCTGGGTCCCACTCAGCACCCCAGCTTGGTGTGTCCAGGCCCCAAGAGTGCCACGGTGCTGAGGGGATGCTTCTGTTCAGGGCTGGTGTTCAGATGTGGGAGGTAGTTCTGGCCCAGGCCCCTGAGCCTTGCAGGTGGTGGAGAGAGTCTGGCCAGTGCCGATGAGCATGTGGGTTTGGGAGGTGTTTGTGTGGCACAGGCCAGCGGTATGGTATCCAGCGTGCAGTTCCCCCACAGCCGGCAAGCGCTGCAGGCAACACAGAGGTGGTTTTGTTCCAGCTTGCTGCAGGATTGGAGGGCGGCCCTGCTGTCTGCCATCCACTCAACTCAGCGTTTTCCTTTTTCCCGCAGACCTTGCGACCCGTGCGAGCAGAGCCGCCCTGCACCACCATGTGCATCATCTTCTTTAAGTTTGATCCTCGCCCTGTTTCAAAAAATGCATACAGGTAACCCCCTCGCTCTGCGTCTGCCGCGCCATGCAGGGTCCCAGGTGCCCAGCCAGTTCTCACGCCACTGGGCTGCTGAATGTGGGAAGGTATGTGGGCCAGGCTGGGGCTGCACAAGCCTGGCACTGCCCTCCGGGACAGGGTCACTCAGTGTGGGATGCTGTCAGAATTCCTCTCGGGGCAGGGACTCTAGTTGATGTATAAAGATGTGAAGACTCAGCCACAGAAGGTGTTGGGTACCAGCCCCAGCCCCGTACATGGGTGTCCTTAGTCCTGGCGTGACGAGAAATTGAGGAAAGGAAATAAAGACGGAGACACAAGAGTAGAATATACCGTCTAGGCCCCTAGCTTTGGGCTCCAAACACTTTTATTATGTGCATAATCTCATTGATCTTATGGGCATGGAAGGAGAGGGTCAAGGAATTGGGTAAGATAGCCTGCGGGGAGAACACTTGAGATCCTTCTAAGACATGCTAAACTAATGCTCTGAGCATTTAACAGCACCTGAGATCCTTCTAAGACATGCTAAACTCATGCTCTGAGCATTTAACGGCACCTGAGATCCTTCTAAGACATGCTAAACTCATGCTCTGAGCATTTAACAGCACCTGAGATCCTTCTAAGACATGCTAAACTCATGCTCAGCATTTAACAGCACCTGAGATCCTTCTAAGACATGCTAAACTAGTACTCTGAGTTTATCACGGATTGTTATCTAGGTGCAGCTGCATCAGAAGCACAACGGATGAGGAGTCACCCAGTCTGACCACTCCCAAAGCATCAAGGGGCTTTTATCTCCTGAGCTTTGGGGACATAGAGCAATTAAAATCTTGACATAGTCACATGTTCGCAGAACCTAGGCAGAGCCTGAGGTGTTCCCTGATCTCTACCCTGCAAGGCTTTTCTCCTTGCCAGCTCCCATCTGCAAAGACCCTCCCGGATCTTGTGAGCAGAGGTCGCCTCCCTTCTCGGAGATCTTTGCATAAGCCCTCGTTCTGAGGCCCTCTTGGCAGTCTCCATGTTGAGAAGGCATTCGTGGGACCAGAGCAGTATCGCCTGCCCTGAAACCACCCCGAGGTGTTCCCCGGGGTTACTGTGCCCTCGGATGGTCTTTACCTTAGGCCTCCTGTAGCTGCTTGATTTCTAATTAACTGCACCAGTAATATAGTTTAGTTTGGTATATAAACTTCAGTGTACTCTGAGACAAGCAAGCTTAGAATTATTTAGCTAGAATTAATATAGGTCTCCTCTTGGCCGTCTTGACCCGCAGAAGGCAGCTGTGCAGGTAGGACAGAAGAGTGTCGTGTCCAGGTGGGCTGCAGTTCTATGGGCTTTAGGTGGGGGTCGGGCAGCAGAACTGGGGCAACAGTGTCAGCAAGAGCCAGCTTGGGCTGGCAGGTCACAGGTGCTGGTGAGAAGTTGAGGTGGCAGCCAGCCTGAGGTCTGTATATGAGTCCTGAGCTGAGGAAGAAGAGGAGGAGAGGATGCTGGGGACCAGCCAGAAGAGACAGAAAGCCAAGGCCAGGATCCACCCCTGACCCTGAACTGAGGATGGCCACACCTCCATTCCCCAGAACACCCCAGCATTTATTCACATGGAGAATGAGGCAGAGATGTAACCCACACCCAAAATGAAACTTGAAACTACTCTCTAATGGAATTGCTCGGGAAGATTTCATCATTTTAAAATCTATATTTTGATTTGAACCATTTCAAGAGGGTCTCAGATTTGACTCACCGCAAAGTTGCGTAGACACCATGCTGCCTGACTTCAAGACTGAATGAAGTCATTTCCTGCCAGGGAATAGGGAAGGAGGTATGTCTGGGGTTTTTCCTTTTTGCAATTTGGTGATGGCAGGGCCAGGCCAGGGTCCAGGCGGCAGACAGCATGCTGCAGGGCAAGTGGAAGTAATGTTAAGAACTATTGACTGCCACAGGGGCTGGAGTCGTGTGGGGGTGGGTCATGAGTGAGCAGAACTCTAAAGAATGTAGGAATAAGGTGAGGAACAGCCACTGTCCCCAGGGCTGAGCTGGGGTGCCCAGGGCAGAGCTCCCTCTTCCACCCCCAGCTAAGATCCAGACCTTGCTGGAGAGGGCACACCATGGCCATCTGGATGTCTTGGAAGTCTCTGGGGTGCCACGCTGGCAAGGTTTCCTGGAAATTTGCCTTCTAGAGTGCCTGGTAGCTGTCACAGGGTGGCTGCTAGGGGAAGGTGCTGACTGATGGCTGCTGCTGTTGTGCCCTGAAGAGCTGGGAAAGCCTCACTTGTTGCAGAAGCCTCCTGAGAAAGGATGCAGGAGCCGGGAAAGAAGCCTTCCTCCTCCAGTATCTCTCCAGCGCCCTCTTCTGACAAAACGTAACGTGGAACCAGCCGATGTTCAGCCCCATTATCACAGAGCAGGTGATGCAGGGTGAATTTGGAGCTGAGCAGATGCAATATATCCGTAACTGTCACGGTCTAGCCTTTGGCTCCTCAGCTTTCCTACACACCCTTCTATGCTCACTTAAACTCGCATGTGCCAGCCAAGCAACTGTATTTCTATCTGACTAGCAAAGAAGTTCCCAAATAAAGAGACATAGCCCAATGGCCCCTGAAGCTGTCACTGGCTGTGTTCCATTACTTCCAGATTTAGCCACAGCCTCACTTGATACTGTGTTTCCAGAGTTACCTCTGACCACCTGCACATAGAGTAAAATCGAGGAGAAGGAAGAAGACAACAGTGAGCATACACAGCACACCCACAGGCAGCAGAAAGGAGCTGCGCACCAGTGTTCTCGCTCCTGGGCACGCACCAGGCTGTGGCTGGGCCCTGGCTTCCTTCTGCTGCACTCAGCCAGAACCTCTGCTGCTCTCGGTTGCATACCTGGGGGATGGCCTGAGGCTTGGTTTTCGTTGCTGTGGTTTTCCACCAGCCAATCCCCTCGGGCCTGGGAGCTGGGACTCAGCGGCTCATCCACACAGCAGCTCTGCCTGCCTGGACATCGCTGGGAGAGGCTCTGCTTCCACTGACTCTAGCCAGCAGGGCCACACCCCAGGCCTCCACGTTCACCAGCTGGGCCTCACAGCACCTCCCAGGTCACCCTGACCTCAGGTCAGCCCGAGCCCCTGGGACTCTCCTTCACTCACTGTTTCCCTCCTGCCACTTCCTTGGCCACAGTCAGCTAACTGGGAAACAGGCAAGAGTAACCCAGGGTGAAAACTGCCAGGCCTTGTCCCTAGGGTGCACACACTGTGGCTGTCACAGCTGGTGCTCAGGGAAGTGGGAGGACAGTCCCTTTGAGTCCATTCCCAGGAGGCAGAGCCAGTGAGAGGACAGAACCCAGGCCTGGGCTGTCCACCATCACAGGGCGTTGTGAGCTAAACCATGTCTCCTGCAAATGCCCATCTTGAAGTCCTAACTGCTGGTACCTAAGAATGTCACTGCATTTAGAGGCGGAGGCTTTAAAGAAGTGATTAAGGATGGCTGAGTGCGGCGGCTCATGCCTTTAATCCCTGCACTTCGGGAGGCTGAGGCAGGAGGATTGCTTGAAGCCAGAAGTTCAAGGCTGCCTGAGCTATGATCACGCCACTGCACTCCAGCCTGAGTGACAGAGCTAGACAATGAGTCTTAAAAAAAACGATTAAGGCAAAATAAAGTCAGGTGGGTATGCTCTAATCAATATGATGAGTGACGCGGATACACACAGGGGAAGCTAGTGTGTGTACAGAAATAGAGGCAGTCCTCTGCATACCAAGAAGCCCTCAGAAGGAGCCAGCTCTACTGATGCTTTGATCTCGGACCTCCAGTCTCCAATGCTGTGAGACGTTAGTGTCTGTTGTTGCCACCGCCTACTTTGTGGTGCTTGGTTATGGCAGCTCTAGGAAATTAGCAATCGGGAGAGCTGGCCGGCTCCGTGTGGGTTTCAGGGTGGCTTCCTGCAGGCTGCCAAGGAGACTCGACCCGCCCCGGGTGCTTGCATCTCTGGGGAGGAAGCTTGACAGCCAGCCTGCAGGTGCCGGTCAGTGCCACCCAGCTCCCTGAGTGGAGAAGAGGAGGGTTGACATGGCCTCTCGTGCTTTCACTCAGAGCCCGTGTGTCACTGCCGGGACCCGCCCTGTGTGTCCTGCCATTCAGTTGGCCTCGGCATTTCTCTCTGGACTATTTTCCGAAGGCCTAAGCCAGGGATGAGGTATGCCACCTCCGGGTGACTGAGCAAATGTGCACTGTGTTTTCCTGACTTCGTGGGAGGGTGTGAGGCACCTCTGTTGGCTGCTTCTGCTCTAGCTGTGGGGTGCCCAGCTGGGGGAAGGGCACGCTGCAGGCTGGGGCACAGGGGCTTCTGCAGAGCCCCTGCCAGCACTTCTGCAGCACTTCGGGAGGCCTTGTGCAGGTACCCAGCTAGGCTGGGCTGGGCTCCTCACCTGTGGACTGGGGTATAAAGTAGGGTGCTTTAAGCCACTCTGCTTTTATTATTATTATTATTTTATTTTATTTTTATTTTTTTGAGACGGAGTTTCACTCTTGTTACCCAGGCTGGAGTGCAATGGCGCGATCTCGGCTCACCGCAACCTCCGCCTCCTGGGTTCAGGCAATTCTCCTGCCTCAGCCTCCTGAGTAGCTGGGATTACAGGCACGCGCCACCATGCCCAGCTAATGTTTTGTATTTTTAGTAGAGACAGGGTTTCACCATGTTGACCAGGATGGTCTCGATCTCTTGACCTCGTGATCCACCCGCCTCGGCCTCCCAAAGTGCTGGGATTACAGGCTTGAGCCACCGCGCCCGGC